TATTTATGTTTGTTAATAATAATATCACAAGCGCATCTCAAATTTTGTAGAAATAATTCTGAAGAATCAGCTTCTTGTTTTTTCGAAAGATATGAACTAAAAGTAAACAGTATACATCCCCATCGCAACAAACGCAACATTTTTTATATGAATTTTTTTATATTAACTAATTATTATTATCGAGTTGTATAGCATATCCATACGTAAAAAAATATTTCCTGTTTAAAGTATGTACATTTTGAAAAAGGATCCAAAAAGTTATAAAAATTTTCCAAATTTGCATTCCATCAAACCGAAATAAGATTTATTTTTGTTTATTTTAAAACATTTGAAAAATAGAACAGAATAACAGCATTTAGATACGTTTTTGGTACCTACCTACTCGCGATTTATTATATATTTCTATTAGAAAAACATAACGAGGAGATTATCACATATTTTTTCTGTTTTTTCCTTAATTTTGGGAAAATACGTAAAATAATTGATCTAAATATCTATTCTTTTTTTAATTATTGTAGTCAATTAACATAATTAATTAGCTGGGATTATATAACATACTACATATATTTTTCTAACCGTTCAAGGACTCGACATAACAAGTAGATGCACAATTGTTTACTGTAAATAAGTGCATGAATATTATTATTGGTTAAACAAAAATTTATTTTATGATGCAATTAGTTCCTTTTTATTATTTTTCATGAGATAATAATGTGGCACTTACGCCTACATAAAATTTGATAATTATGTTCTAATAATACAATGAAAGTGGAGAACAACAAATAAACAAATAATCAATCCATGCATCGCTTGACATCCTGTTTAATGATGCGTAAAAACATTCATTAATTATTATTGATAATTGCTGACTAATAATTTTGAAATTATTCTGTGCAATCACAGACGAAACGTTGGCATTTTCCAATAAACCATAAACGTTTGAAAAAAAAAAATATATTTTACAATGTGGTAAATTATTCATTAAATCTATTTGCATATCTAATATTATCAAAATATTTTTTTTCATAACTTTCAGAATGTTTAACACTGTAATTTATTATTAATTATAAAAATAATCTCAAAATAAACACGAGATAGCTTGTTATGATGCATAAAAACACACAATTTTCAGACAAATTAAAATTTGAAACTAATTTATTAAATCATCATTGACTGTTACGAATCAATCAATTCTGAGCGCTCTATTTTATATGCTACTGAAATCTTCCCACTTATTTTCTAAATTTAATTAGTTATGGTTTCCGACAATGCATTGGAAAGTTTTTGTTGATTTAAAATTTTCCCATAACACCTTCACATGTACTGTAGAATTAATTGCACATGTAACGCCAAACGACCCACCTACTAAAATTGTAAATAATAATGTTCGTACGAATGTATCGCAATAATTTTTTACGAACAAAAAGAATAAAATGTCATACAAGCAAAAATATTAGAGATTTACAATATTGTATGAAAATATTGTACCTACATTTATTTTATTGTATTTTCTTCAAGTAATGCAGTATCATTATTTTTTACCCACCCTGTACGTTCACATATTTTGTGAGCGGATACTGCTCGAATAGTATGTTTAACAGTGTACAATATTGGCGATATTGGCTCTAGAAGGTATGCAACACATCGTACATAAAACATAGCTGTTATGAATAATAATACGATGATTTTACAAGGAATTTACTGGTTATTGGCCCTAGAGCGCATGCAACCCATCGTACTTGTAACACATACTTGCAATGAATAAATACAACGATTTTGCAGCTTTTTAACTAACAAAATCATAATAATCTGGTTTTATATTATTATGTATCAATGTGCAAGATAGTAACATAGTTTTTTCTGAACCAATTTTGATGCGGTTTTCAGCATAATTTAAGAGATTTAACGCTGTTTTACACTAATAAGAAATAGATAATCTCAACTAACAAAACCTGACTAAAAAGTTTACTTCAGGTTTATTTTTGCTAAAAATGGATTCAGTAAGGGATAATTTTATAATAGATACTTGAAGGTATAATAGCAGGACATTTATTATTAGTTAGATCACTATTAACGCAAATAGACAAGAATGTTATCTCACGTTGGGGGGAAAGGGTTTAAAATCCCAGTAGTAAAATGCACGTAATTTTACAACTTTTTCTAATTATTTATTTTTTTTTTAAGGGTTAAACGCTTGTGAGCATCAATCGTTCCTATTTCTTCGCAATGAACTTCCAATTCGTTTGGCGAACATTATGAAAGAAATTTCATTACTGCCTGAAAAACTGTTACAAATGCCGTCCGTTGTAGCCGTCAACGAATGGTACAAGATGAGTTTTCAAGATATATTGGAATTCGAAAAGCAGGAAGCTGACAGCAAAACTTTGTATCACTTTTGTGACACATTGGTGAAAATTAGAAATAGGCATTCGGACGTAGTAGAGACGATGGCACAGGGAGTTATAGAATTAAAAACATCGCATGATATTGATTATCAAACCGAACACAGTATTCAGTACTTTTTGGATAGGTTTTACATGTCTAGGATATCTATCCGAATGTTGATAAATCAACACAGTAAGTGTTCACTTTTTTACGAAAAATTTCCCTTGATGGTTCCAAACACCAAGCAAGAAAATTTTGCTTCCCATATAACTTATGAAACGATAGGAATTTTATTCACTTGAATTTAAAAGTTGATGAACATTTAAGTTAAATTGAAATTTTTTTTTCAGCCTTGTTATTTGGGGGGCAACTAGAAAGTGCACCAGGTCCGAATAAAAGCAAATACATCGGTTGTTTTGATCCTAACTGTGATATTATTGAAGTTATAAAAGACGCTTATGAAAACGCCAGGTTCCTTTGCGATCAGTACTATCTTGCATCACCTGAACTTATAATAAGACAATTTATACATAACGGTACGAAAAAGAATCTTGAAGTTCTTTGCAGCAGAGTGGAGTTTTTTTTTTTTAATAATTGATTATTAATACCCAATTTCAATTTGTTTTTTAGATATACCACACGAAACAAAAATTACAATGGTTTATGTCCCGTCACATCTTTATCACATGCTCTTCGAATTATTTAAAAATGCCATGAGGGCAACCATGGAATATCATAACGCTGTGGAAAAGTATCCACCCATTACAGTTATTGTAAGCAAGGGAAAGCAGGACATTTGTTTGAAGGTAAGGAACCATTTAAATTTTATACAGAATTTGCAATGTACAATCAATTAACCATTCACTGTTCTGTTAGATGTGTGACAAAGGAGGCGGTATTCCACGTTCCTCTCATGACCATTTATTTAAATACATGTATTCGACTGCCCCGCAACCTAGCAAATCTGATTCACACACTGTTCCCTTGGCGGGATACGGTTATGGGTTGCCCATTTCGCGATTGTATGCTAGGTACTTCCACGGTGACTTAAACCTTCTTCCATGTGAAGGTTATGGTACTGATGCTATTATATATATGAAGGTAAATACAGTGTCCATTATTGTACCTATTTATTATGTAGTAATAAATCTAAATTCTAAGCAATAAGGCCAATAAACGAAAAAAAATTTCGAAGGTGACTACCGAGATGCCTACATGAAGTAGCTTGTAGGTGGTACCATCTTGTGGGAAAACCTGCGTACTATCGACTATTATACTCGAAACATGTTTAAGGGACATAAAGCAATTTGTCACTTGTTATATTTGCTTGATCAGTCAGATCGTCATTCTTGGTCTTTCTCAATACAGACAATCTTAGTAGTCGCCCTTTGCGATTTTTTTTAATATAATATATTTTTAATGTTGCATATAATTGCAGGCGTTGTCTAACGAAGCTAGTGAATTATTACCCGTGTTCAACAAGTCTGCATCCAAATACTACAGAAATGCATTACCATTAGGCGACTGGTCTAACCATATGACGTCAGTTGGTGACCGTGTCGTTACTGTTAATAACAAAAAGAAACCCTCACAAGAGCACGATGCCAAAAAAGCTGGTGCTATTATTTAGCTTGAAGACGAAGACGAAGAAGACAATACATATTAGTAATAGAATTAAATAATATGGCCAGAAAGTAATAATAATTAAGTGAATAATAATACCAGTGACTACAAAAGAAGACATTTCATATATGACAGAAAATCTTTGGTAATTCCTAAACGATTAAATCTTTAAGGCTTAAAACGTCTACCTATTGTAGAAAAAACTTTTATGCTACATTTGTATATACCTACTAGCAAATTTTGGTACCTAGACTGATAAGTCTTTCATATTTGACTTCTGACGGACTGATTCAGTGTTTCTAAAACAACTACATAGTACATTTACAACAAAACGATTATATTTTAAATACTGTTTTCTAAATGTTATTGTATATAGTGGTAATTTTGCAATACAGAAGCTACATGTACAGTTTAATACAAAAACCGTATTTGTTGCTTTATATGACTCAAAAGATGAGAATTTTGGGAGTCCTAATGATTCAATTTGCATTTAGATTTTGGAAAGGTTATTGTTGGTAGTTGTATTTTTATAGAAAAATGATTTGTGTACCTGTATACCAGTAAGTCACATCACATCACATTTATTAACACTAAAATTTGCTTTATTCTTTTTTGATTTGAAGTTAAACAGAATTATAAAGTAGAATTCTAACAGCATTAAAAACTAATATCAATAAGTGTGATGTGAAGAATGAAATGCGACCAGTGTATACTTATGGCTAATTGTAAAGTTATTCCTTTTCGATATCCCGCGTTCTTTGCTAAGAATTGATCATATTGCTTGCTTATAACAATAACTAGATGGCGTTATCTGGTAGAAAAAGACAAATTAGCTTTTCTTGTGGCAATAAACATGTACATATGAATGTCTTTTCCTAACAGTCACCCTTGTTAGAATAAACTTTTGAAAGTGAGTTTTTCCAACCATATCCTCAATTAAGAATCATATCTCTGAAAATAGTCTATATCCTTTTTTATGCCTTTAAAGAAGTGCATTATTTAATTTCAAAAATTATGTACAAAAAGTTATGTATAGAATTACAATATGTGAGCAAGTAATATTGCGATGGCTGTAGTGTAGTTAATTGTAAGATAGAGTAACTGCTGTAGAAGTGATATTAGTTGTTACTACAAAATGCATTTTTATAATACATTTATTTCTAGATTGACCGACAAAATAAAGTCTAGTTTTAATTCTATTTATTTTTAAACAGTTAACCATATAAAAATTTTCCTTGTAAATTAAGCTATAATCTGTAATAAAGATTGAGGAAAAATATCTTGCAANGGCTGTAGTGTAGTTAATTGTAAGATAGAGTAACTGCTGTAGAAGTGATATTAGTTGTTACTACAAAATGCATTTTTATAATACATTTATTTCTAGATTGACCGACAAAATAAAGTCTAGTTTTAATTCTATTTATTTTTAAACAGTTAACCATATAAAAATTTTCCTTGTAAATTAAGCTATAATCTGTAATAAAGAAATGTATCTTTAATAAAAAACAGTAATTATTGTTTTATAATCAATAAATTATTGTTTGCATTTGTCTAACTTATTATTTAAATTAACCATCTCATAAACGACCTATAAGGTGCCCCATTTTGCTTTAAAACCTTAATGGAATATTAAAAAATGCAATGATACAAATAAAATAAAAATTTACTTAATAAAAAAAGGTATATTTTTTCTTTTTAAGGTAGTAAAAGGCATACATATAAGTATACATGCATATAAAATGGAATGTATCTCATACTTTAAAAAGTTAGTAAGTTATTTATTTATCAAATTGAGGATTTTGGTATACCTTGTACTGAAATTTCACACCATTTTCTTCCTGCTCCTCATTAGGAACTGTTGGATCTCTATAAAGTCCAATTGTAAAAAGTTGTTTGATAAATATAGGTAAAACTTACTTAATTTCCTGCAAACTATTATCTATTTTTGGAAAGAATGTATCACATTCATAAACTTTCTTAATTTCAGTCAAATACAGTCTGTAGAAGTGTTTTGAATCCATTGTTAACTGAGAGAAAATAAATGTTTAAGGCAATGTGATGGAAAAAATTAACAATGGGACAATTTCTGCACAGATATGTGATGCAATGTTAAAGCAATATTTACTCACTTTGTAAATATTGCTGCCACCTATTACCCAAATCTTTTCATATTGGCTTTTAAACAGATCATCTTGGAGCTTTGCTAAAGCTTCATCTAAACTTTTAAAATGAAATGTATCTTTATACAGTTTAAGATTCATGATGTTTCTTGACAGCACAAAATTTATACGATTGGCCAAAGGTTTGTATTTATGAGGAATGCAATCCCATGTTTTACGACCCATTAAGACAACATTTTTCTTAGTAGGATCTTGTGTGGCTGTTGTCATTCTAGTAAAATACTCCATTTCTGTTCTTAAATTATAAATATCCCCTTTAAAGTCTTTGACTTAAAATAAAATGTGGCACTTGAATGAATTCAAGTTTTATGACAGTAACCAACTTATAATTTACAATATTAATGTAATTACCATGACTACTTACTTTAAACGCCAAGGTAAATTATTATTATAACCAATGCCCATATTTTCACATGCAGCTGCTATTAAATTAAATTTCAAACTCATCTTCTTACTTAGTTAGATATTTAAAGACTTCTCAAGACACAGCTCAAGCTTATGAGTATAAAAAGGACAAAATATTTCTACGTTGACAATATTTTTAAGTAAAATATATTAGAACTTAGTACACCAAGAAAAACTATTACTTTCTACATAAAGGAAATTAAAAATTACTCCAAAACCAACCACTACGTTTTAAATAATTTTTAGGTTAGAAAAAGGAAGAGGTTAGGAGATACAACAGCAATAATAAGCAGTGGCGTATCCAAAAGGTTTTGTTACATAAAGCTAGGTCCTATTAATGTATCGAAATGATGCTAATTTCGAATAAAAAGTTTTATTATTATTTACACGAATAAAATCATGATAAATCAATCAGTGTTAAATAAAGAGTATTAACACTAATTTTATAAAATAAAGATAAAATACATGTGAAAAACTGACTATGTAAACGTAAGGGATGATAATGGGGGAAGAAGTCTTAGCACAAAATTTTGATTAACAGCAACTTTAATTATTTTAAACAACTAACTATTTACTTATTATTTGCAAATTAGTCCAAAAATGTAAAGGAGGCAACCAATTTAACAGCTAATCTGTTCAAGTGTAGGTATACTTTTAAATTTACTGCTAGGACGTGAAACTTTTGAAAAAGTCAAACATGTAAAACAAAATTATCGTCACACAATTACAACTTAATGTTTTTCATGGACATTAAATGATATACGCCTTATTAAATGCGATGCGGTTTAAAACCCACTGTATAGTAAGATGCGTTTTTATTGATCAATGTACATTTATAGTCAAACCATCACGAATTCTGTATTCTCTCTTTCTAATAATCGATATTAACAAACTACACTGTGTTAATGTGTCAAATGCTTTTTCATTTTATTAGTTTGTAAAGAGCTATTTCCAGGTGAGTCAATGATTACTTACTTAGCTACCGAATGACTATTAGAATATTGGGGTGCGATCAAAGGGAAATCACTTACAATAACTGCTTACCCTCGTTTCCACTTGAGAGTTAATCGAACAAGTGGTGTGAATCTTGCTAAGCATGTAATATATTTTATTTGCATTTATTTTCAAATAGTAATAAAGTCCGCAAAAATTTTAATTTCTTTCGTAAAATCAAATCGATACTGCCTATAACAACAGCTACTAAGTATTAATTCACAGAATTAAGTAAAAACAAGAAGAAACATTAATTTGCTTCGTTAGAACAATTGTTCAAAACTTTGAAAAAAATCTAACTTATGTATTAAATAAATCTGTATGTATTAAATATTTTGTTTTTCTGATTCGTGTGTGGATATTTTATTAAAGAAGGTGACCGTGTCGTTACTGTTAATAACAAAAAGAAACCCTCACAAGAGCACGATGCCAAAAAAGCTGGTGCTATTATTTAGCTTGAAGACGAAGACGAAGAAGACAATACATATTAGTAATAGAATTAAATAATATGGCCAGAAAGTAATAATAATTAAGTGAATAATAATACCAGTGACTACAAAAGAAGACATTTCATATATGACAGAAAATCTTTGGTAATTCCTAAACGATTAAATCTTTAAGGCTTAAAACGTCTACCTATTGTAGAAANTAGACTACTGGATTGTTGTTAAACCAAAAAAAATTTAAAACCATTTTAAGTCTTATCAAAATAAAAGTTGGACTAGTTAACTAAAAAAGTTTAAATTTTATCTTATTTATTTACGTAGATACTGTTGCTAATTTCTTGCACATGAATTCAAAACCACTTTTTTATAAAATTACTAATGCCTTGGATGTTCTATTGATTAGATAAGGATCATTTATTTTTCCACACACAACTACGTGAAAATCTATGTTTACATAATAGTTCTTATCTTATCCGAATAAGCAATTAATGCAATCATTACCAATAGGGCCCTGCAACTCTATTTCAAAAGTTCTACCGTTTGCTTAACCGATGCATTCATGAAAATACAGTATTCGAAACAAATAGATAATACTTTTTTGCTTCCTTCATTATATTGTGTCAAAATATAGATTATTATTAGCTACAACATCCTTGTGAGTATATTTATTGTATTTATGTACGTTATCTGTTAGTGGTCTGTTTGAGATTTGTAGGAGCTAGTAAGTATTGTTCGTATTTTTTTTTACTATTTTTATTAGGGTTTGAAATTTGCACCAGAAATGTACTATCTTTTAAAATGTATAATTAATGCATCATTTATTCTAAATTAATACGAGAAACAAAAGTTACATTACTCTTACTATAGTAAATTAATGAACCATTGTAATCTTTTGTTTTGGTTCGGCTCATTTTCGATTAGTTGTTAGTTATTGACAAACACATTTTAGATAACGCATTCAGAAAAAGTCTTCTTTATTTCTTCGTTTCGTTAGATACCATTAACCGTAATTTCACGTTAATTGTCAATTGTTTTAGATGTACGCCCGAAAAACAGAAAGAAAAGTTGCAATTATTTTTTTAATAAATGAAATAAATAATGTGTGAAGAATCCGCATGCTTAGTTCCACAACTGGATCAATCACCGAATGGAGCCCCTGCACCCAGACGTAAGACTCATTTAATTACTTTTTTTAAACAAAGTGAATTTTTTAAAAAAGAAAGATAGTTAAAAATGTGTCCCTATACAGCATATCATAGAATACTAGATTTTATTAGCGGCTTCACTCGCGTTAATGTCCTAAATACCTGTCAAAGATCACTAATTTTTTCTATCCCTTAGGAACTATATCTTTTTTCTGTATAAAAGGTACCTTAGGTTCTTTTCTGTACCCCTGACAATGTGTCTACAAAATTTCATGATAGGGTTTTACCCGCGGCTTCGCTCTAGTTGATGTTTAAATACCTGTCAGAGACCATCGACGACCACATAAAACTAATTTTTTTGTATCCCTTGTATTGGGGATTTTTTTAAATTTGATGATGTTGAGTAATTAATTAAAGCGTGAGATCATAACAAACAAATTCATATTCATATTCCTGGGTTCGGATCCCGGCGAGGGTGTGACGACAGCAACAAATTTTTCTTCATTAACTCGAGATAATTTACAGTTGGTATAAATGGAAAATGAATTTTCATATTAAAATTTGATAAATTCATATTTGCATTTACACTAGTTAAGATAAATTTACTTAAAATTTATTTATAAATATCACTCCTCAATTTAAATAATCTTTAGACTAAAATCTTTCGATAGACCGTTTGAAAAGGATATTTTTTGATAAAAAGACCGTAACAGTATTTAGCAGTTTTGAAACTCCTTTAAAGTCTTTGACTTAAAATAAAATGTGGCACTTGAATGAATTCAAGTTTTATGACAGTAACCAACTTATAATTTACAATATTAATGTAATTACCATGACTACTTACTTTAAACGCCAAGGTAAATTATTATTATAACCAATGCCCATATTTTCACNTAAAAAGACCGTAACAGTATTTAGCAGTTTTGAAACTGCTTTTTTCTGTTAAAAAAATAAATATTTCAATACATACTTAACAGTTATATTTGAAAATATCTTTAATTTCGTGATTTTTAAGTGTCATCAGGCAGTGGGGGCGGGGTGTGTGCTGCTGGTGAAGCATTGGTTGGATTTCATGAAGACGCAATATCCCAAGCCGCCGTTGGAAGAGCACAGTTTCTTCTAAGTGTGGTACTGGGTTTAGCAATTGCGGCTGATTGTTCGGAATTATCAATTTTGGGGTTTATTTTACCTGCAGCGGAACTTCAGTTGTGCGTAGACGATCACCGAAAAGGATGGCTAGGTGACACTACATACTTTTACTTAATCATAATATTTGGAAATACGATGTCATCCTATTTTTCAAAATGTGACTCTTTTGAACTTCTGTATCAGTTTCATTATTTTTCATAATTTAAATTTTTGTTCCATGGTTCAACGAAGTCATTAATCTGACTTTGTTTTTTTTTATTCAAGTGTCCATAACTTTGCTCGCTTTAGCAGCGGGCTCCTTAGCCTGGGGTATTCTGGGGGATCATATAGGTCGCAGGAGATCCCTGGTTAGTGCTTTATCAGTGACTGCGGTATTTTCAGCCATGGCCGTAGTTATGCCAACCTACGGAACCTTCATGACCGCTAGGTATTAATTTCCGAAAATGCATCACACATCATGTAATCGTTTTTGGGCTCATCCCTCTAGGTTTTGTTCCGGTTTGGGTGTTGCAGGCGCCATACCATTATCTTTTAGTTATTTAGCAGAAACGTGTCCCAGAGCCACCCGAACCCGATATAATGGTCTTCTTCACGCTTTCTGGCCTCTGGGAGCCCTTTTGACTTCCACCATGGCCCACCTGACACTACCCACTGATGGCGCGGACGTGGTCGAAGACAATCGGGAGCACTGGAGCTCTTGGCACAAGTTTCTCCTTCTCAACATACTTCCCACGATCACCTGCATCGTGGGCTTGATATGGGCTTCAGAATCTCCAAGGTGCCTAGCCAAAGATAAGTTCTGCTTCATCATACGTTTGTCGAAATTGATTCTAGGTATCTTCTCGAAGCTTGCAGAGAAGTCGAAGCATTGGCTGTGTATCAAAGACTGCATCGTTTAAACAAGGCAAGGACGCAATATGGATTAACAGAATTGGAGTTGCCCGGGAGGAGTGCTTACAGGGACAAGCCTGTCAGTAATTCAAGGAACGTCCTCAATCAGGGTTTAGAATCAGTAAGGCATATTTATGATTGTACCGAATAGAAGAGCAAACTGTTTATTTTTGTACTTAGCTAAAAGATGCTTTCCGACGTTTGGCGTCGCCTTCTCATTTCCGTACGACAATTCTTCTGATAGCGTTGCACTTCCTTTTGGGATTTATTTACACGGGCGTATCTGTATTTTCCTCGTCGTGGTTGAAGGAACTAAACGAATCCAAATACAACGCGAACAAACATTATTATCACAATAACAGTTTCATTGGATACATATTTAATGCCACGCTGGAAAATGTTCAGTACAAATACAGCGTTTTCAAGAATGTTACGTTTTCGCACCTCGACTTCAATCACGTCGACTTTATCAGCTGTATCTTCGAAGAAACGGAATTTTCGAATGTCAAAACGTCCATTACGTATTTTCAAAATTCGACTTTCAAGGATTGCAGGTAAACTCTAACTGACTGAACAATAAAATAATTCGAAGTGGTCTGTATTCTGTCGAAACTGCCAGACGAGGATCGCGATTTGGATCTTTTTTGGATCTCATCAGCGCGTCGCAGGCAGCTCCGACAGAACACAGACCAACTTTTACCTGCTGTCTTAACAGTGCGTTTTAGAAAATTCTACAAATGGCGCAGTAAACGCCATCTGTAGCACGACGATGGAGCATACGTAATCCTAAAATGTAGCACCGTACTACAGAAGGCGTTTACTGCGCCATTTGTAGAATTGACTGAACAATGTTCCTTTAGCGTCCCATAACGTTTCAATTCCAGATTTATCGATACAGATCTAACGAAAGGACAGTTTATCAACTGTAACATGATCAACAACACGTTCCTATCGTTAATAGCAGATTGCAAAGTCGATTTCGATTACAACATCTATTTGGACGATCTGTACCATGAGACTATGGCATGGGCTGGTCCAATGTTACCAGCACTTGTAATAATGGGGTTCGTTCTTGAGGTTTCCACGAGACCGCCGATTCTGGTCGTCTTGCTGATCCTCGTAAGTTTGAGTGGTATTGGAATCTTTTTTATGGCCGATTTCATGTCTGTGGTTGCTGTTGAATCCGTTGTCAAGGTTTTGTTAATGTGCGCCGTGAATGTTATCACAATGGTTGTTGTGGAGGGCTACCCTTGTTACCTGAGGTAAGGCGATTTTCATCTGCATGTATTGTTTTCGTTATTAAAACGACTTCACATTCAAAACGAAATAAATACAAGATTTCAATGGTAATATAATATTTTATTAAATATTAATGTGAAAATTCATTATAATTTTTTTCCCACTATAAACTACCTTAGGTTAATGAGGAAAAATTGTTGCTGTTATCACACCCTCGCCGGGAATCGAACCCGGGACCTTTGGCTTTAAGCACCTCTTATAGCTTAGTGGTTGGAGCATTGGTGCGTAAAGCCAAAGGTCCCGGGTTCGATTCCCGGCGAGGGTGTGATAACAGCAACAATTTTTCCCTCATTAACCTGAGGTAGTTTATAGTGGGAAAAAATTAAAATGAATTTTCACATTGATATTTGATATTAACCCCTATTAAATGTCAAAGTGTTTCATATATATAGTATTAATATTTTATTATCGTTATAAACGAATAATAGTAAGTAAGATGGAACCATTTTTAGTTTCCTTTGAAAGAAGCTTCATAAGCTTGCCCAACTAAGTTACAATATAACAATTTCTGCATTTCAGATGTACTGCGCATGGTATAATGCGCAGCATATTCCATATAGCGTCCTTATGTGCCATTCCCATCTATAACATGTTAGTACACACGATATTGCTGTTCCCCGCTGTCATAACAATAGCGGTGGCATTTTTCGCAGCAATTTTGTCCATTAAAGTTCAAGACAACAGCAAAGTGCTGTTGTAATCGTCTTTTCCTAAAGCCTTTGTCAATTGTCGCCATTTACAATCGTTGTAAATGTTACCATTTTAGTATACCCATATACTACGATAAATATTTTATTGAATTAACAATCACTAGTCCCCTAAGGAAGAGCTTATCAAGAATATCTTAAAGTATTGATACGAAAATAACTAAACATTTGACACGTAGCGAAAATCGTGTAGGGTGCAAAAATACCTACTACAAATGTGATCCAAAATTATCTATATGTATCTTGTAAATTATTATTAATACTATCCTTAATACAAGAGTTTCAAAAATGGTGATTTTGTATCTTATCGCCTTCGTATATAAGAATATCAATTTTTAATTATGCTACAAAAAAAATTTTTTAAAGCAAAGAAGAATATTGTCTAAAAATCAGAATATTTGTTAAATATTGTCTAAAAATCAGAATCTTTTAGTAACTCTTGTCCTTTGAATAGTTAACTTTACAAAAGAAATCACTAGATGCTGTTAGCTAAAATTTAAAAAATTAGAAAAGAAAAATAAAAAAAAATTAAGTCATACTGATGGAAATCTATTGAAGCCTTCCAGAATTACATGTTCTGTTAATTATTTTTCTTTATTATAATATGTATAAGTACTTATTTTAATTACGTAATTTTATTTAATGCATCTGTGATACTTTTTTCGTTTTATTGAGTTAACTTTCGAATGCCCATTATTTGTAATCGATGTCAATAAATGGCATATCAAATATATGTAGCATCCAATGAAGAATGTAAAACAGAACACTCAGTAAGTAGTTTCCAAAACAGTCCACTTTCATTCCCAAAAACTGCCTATGTACTAAATATACCAATCACCGATTAGAAATACTTATCTAATTATTATTTATACCAATCTTCTGTGTTAATTATGTTTTGTATGAAATAAAGTTTTATTTGAAATTTTGTTTTATTTGTCAACTTCGAACGAAATAATTTTTTTTATTGTGAATAAAATTTTAAATCTTTTAAAACAAACAGTTCTAGTGAAAACTAGATATATGATATGATATATATTTTAATTCAAAATGTAAGTAAAAAAAGGGTACCACAATCTTGCGTACCTATTCTTATAATTTACTATAAAACCACACTAGTATACTAGAAACACCCTGTATAAACGAATGTAACTGCGCCACCAGTCGATTATTTCCTGAAACTCTCCATGAGTCACAAGTTTTCTAGACCGTTTTCCACATACATCGATTTCTATAGATTTCCACAGCCAAAGATGGCATCTCATGCATCTATATCACAGTATAACTATCTATTTCACATACTTATCAACATCAAACGATAATAAATCGATCAAGACCAAAGCAAAGCTCTTTTTGAGGTGTAACAGTCAGCTTACGAAAATTCTCGACCAATTACTTGAAAAATTTGGAAAATTAAACCGAAATTCAAGTCATTCGGCCTATGATATCAGTAGAACACTTGATAAAATAAACAAAATCAAGCCAAAGGTTCATCTAAAGTCAACACATCAAAAATAGCATTGTTTTTTGATCGATTTTGATGCAATATACTTAATCAGAAACCAATGAGTCAAACGACTCTTTAAAATGCTTCAACTTCAGCTTTCGTTATAAAAACCCTTTATATCATTAGTTTTTTACCTAAGCATTAAAAAAAAGTAAGAATCTGTCGAATAAATGGATATTCAAAGTATTAATATTAATATAAAGTCAACACATCAAAAATAGCATTGTTTTTTGATCGATTTTGATGCAATATACTTAATCAGAAACCAATGAGTCAAACGACTCTTTAAAACTGCTTCAACTTGAGCTTTCGTTATAAAAATCCTTTTTATCATTACTTTTTTACCTAAGCATTAAAAAAAGTAAGAATTTGTCGAATAAATAGATACTCAAAGTATTAATTTTGATTACGGATCTAGAAGCAGGCTTAATTTTCTTAAGACTAACTAAATTGATTAGCACAAATCTTCTGGTACGGTACAGGTATACACGGACGACCCTGATTGACTATTATTAATATCATAAGGGAATAAGTTCTGAGCCGTCATTAGCCAGCCCAAAGCAATTTTCAATGCCGCTCTCAGGAGGCATGTAAACGCTACATAATTGTTTAATTATTGAATATAATCTCGCTACCCTTACACCGTAGAATTAGGGCGTGTTGGCAAGTCGTCACTATCGCCCGCTCCTACCCACCGAACAACTCCCGACTCTTATGCTTATTAAAGATTCAACAGAAATATAGCGTCGCAAAATTCCCGCTTAAAAAGAAAGGATTACTTTTTTATTTATTTTTTTAATAGCTAAACTGATTCCTCCTAACGAATAGCAATTTTCTAAAAAGTGAATCTAAAAAATCTTTTGGTAGTTCAACGGTTCAAAGTGTGTCCAAAAGTGCATTATGATTGCTTAGACATGCTTTTGACATTTTGTAATTTTAATATAGGTATTCGAGTTGGAACTAAACAATTGCAAAGAAGTGAGTGGATTTAAATGCCTACATTCGGCTGTATAGTTGGTTGCATGTACATACATTCTGATGACATAAATAAATTGGCCAATGTCGCCACCGAGGCTAAGGCCGGTGCTGGGTGGCAGACACACGTGCCTAATATCAAATCAAAGATAACAGCATTCTATGTTCAATAAAAGAGGGTGCGGCACGATTGGTCGCACAACTCACACGTAGATGACTAAAACGCGGAACGTATTAAGACTACAACTAGATATTTTCGTGAAATCTTTTGCAAAAGCCCTTTCAAACTGAAAAAAACAGAAAGAAAGAAGCAACTAGTACTAGTACTACAACATCCAAATATAAAATCTATAAAGCCATTGGATAAACAGGGTTTTTCTGAAATAAGTAACAACGAGGTGATAGGGCACTATAAAACAAGAAAATCAATTAAATGTTTGGTGGTCCGAAAGTCCACTGTTTTCGAGAAAAAGGCATTTGAAAGGTCTGTCCGGACCTGGTAGGATCACGCAGGGAAATACGACACTGCAACGCCGCATTCAATTAGCACCATTTGTGTTGTATTTCTCTTGTATTTTTTCATACGTGTTTATTATTTTTTAGATTAGATTAAGTGCAATTAACGACGTATATTTTACAGCCAATCTAGAGTAATTCTTTGTTCTTTTATGTATCTACTTAGTTGTTATCGCACTTTCTCTGCCCGTTGTCAATTCACGCTCAGGGCCGGCTTCGGATTGCATCTTCACCTGATTTTCTTAGAATTTTTTTATCCCTTATCTAGTGTGTCCCTCCACAGCTTGCTACTTATTTCAAAAACACCCTGTATAACCGTTTGATGAAGGGCCTCTTAAACGTTGTGTGAAGTTGTATAGTCGAAAGAGAAAAAAAATAATTCCATTCGTCCAAATAAAAATCCAATTAAGTTCCACTGCTGGCTGTACACAAACATCCCGTTTATCTCGTATAAATATAGGCCGATGTTTCTACAAAAAAATTAAACACACAAACTCACCCCCACGGTGCACAATGGCTACCGCTACACGTAAATTAAACTTACAACAATCATTTGTTGTAATAAAGAAATAGAAACCAAATCAAAATAATTTTTGTGTACTTTCTAAGTACAATAAAATTTTGTAACTAAACATTGTTTTTAAGTTTGTATTACATTGTTAAAGTAAATATTTAAGAATGTAAAATAATGTGGTGCCAAAGGGAGACACCATTTTTATTTATAAATGATAAGATAGATGGATATGTATACAACTAAAAATTAAAATGAGTTGTGAATCGGGGTGAATTGGTATGTTGCCACGAAAAGAACAGAACCTCCCTCTATATAAAGTCGATAAAAATCTCATCCTTTTTGCAGGACTATTAAGTTCCCCTTCTGTTTTGACTGCCACCGAATCGGCTTATAATTTGTCAAATAAAAAACATCATCAATCCAAACACAAGCGCATCACAAAACCCCTTATACTATTATCAACGAGAATCAATTTAGATCTGAGTTAAGCTCAATGACAATCTTCATACAGCTACAAACTAATTGTTTTGTCCAAAGTGTGCAACAGCTACGGAATTCTTAAAAATAATAGAACGGCGTTAACAAAAATATTAACTGAATATGTTCTGTATTATTTTTGTAAAACTTCTCACATTTGTATATTGCATACTTTACAATCAGTTCTCATTCAAATTTTCCAAGTTGTGAAAGGTATAAAACCAGATATCTCAAATAGTTCCGAAGGTATGAGTTCATACCATAAACTGAACAAATCCAAAAGTCGTCTACGCAAATAAAAGTCAGAGCCCCACTTTACACACACACACACACAACACACACAACAGACACACACGCAACACACACAACACACACACACGCAACACACACAACACACACACACACACACACACGAGCAACACACACAACGCACACACACCAATTTTGTTAATAAAGCTGCTATTATCTATCTATCTATAAGTACCATATTGATAAATTATTAATGATAAAAGGCCCTGGAGATCGTTGAATTTATCTCTATATCTCCACATTAACAAAACTTTATGGTCATAGTCACAATGAATTTTAATTTCTCAATAACAAAAGTGAGTTGATGATCAATACGCTCAAGCGTATTATAATACTCTATTCACAATATTTTCAAGGGTGTACAGTGTACACTAACTAATGGCCCTATGGGGATTTCGCATCAAATTATATTGTAAATCCCTGTTCGCGCCCTGAAAAATAAAACGTGGATGACGATTAGTTTGTGTCGAAGACGAAATTTAAACACCATCACCAGATTTAACGTGCAGATGTGGCCTCTCACTAATAATAGGGGGTGAACTAATTGTAAGAACAATTGACAAATGTTAAAAAAAGATATATACTGTATATTTGTATTAGAAATGCAAATATACTTTTTCGGACCTTCAAATATACACATAATAGTTATAGTAAAAAATTGGAAAACGTAAAAATAAATAAAAATGTATCAATACAATCTTAGTGTTTTCACTACTTGATGTTGATAAAGACATCTTGTTCTGTAGATTCCTTTTTTTGACATTGATTTCGTTAAATTCGCTTATCATTGTCAGACAAACCTCAAATAAAAATGTATTAATACAGTCAGTGTTTTAACTACTTGATGATAAAGACGTCTTGTTCGGTAGATTCCTTTTCTTGACATTGATTTTGTTAAATTCGCTTATCATTGCCAGACAAACTTCAGTATCAGTATTCGTTCTTGGAACATTGTTTTGGTTCTGGCACGTATTTCGCAAACCACCGCATTCCGCAGTTCCAGATTTCGATCTCCCAATATCAAAACTCCTTCTCGAACTGCGCATCGAATTATCGAAAGTATAATAAGGCCAGCACAACCTCTTCAGCAAAAGGAATATGATCGCGGAGGGGTACAGGAAGAAAAATAAAACGTTAATGCAAAATTCACTGGGAGCTGGCACGTTCCTCACTTTTCTCCCTGTCTCAGGATGAACAGGCCACCCGTCTTCGTCGTATACAACAGTTCTTCCTTTCAATGTCCTTTCATAGTAGCAACAAATTTGTTTAGGCTCCATTAAAGCGTCGAAACCCCAAATTCCTATTTCCGTAGAGCAAAAAGAACCAATCAGGGCTTTCGATATCCCCAGGATCAACATGGTCAACATCAGAAATGCCGATAAGTAAAATATCATCGATAAAACATCGTCCAAAACTGTATATTCAACAACGTAGCTGTCTATGGGTAGGGATCCCAGAAAACCCGCCGCATGATAGTGGGACACCGACATTGGAATGCATGCCAATCCTTCAGGAGATCCCATACATGCGCACAAACAATGCCACGTACAAAGACATCTGTCATTCTTTTGGATGCGAATTCTTCTCAAAGCCAAAAGCTCTTTCCTGGAATTCAGCACCTCCACCGAGCAATGGAATCGTTCTGTTGGAATATTGTAATGAACATTCAAGTAGAATATGTGCTGCTTTTGAGGTGGTATCAGGACAAGTTTTGACTGTATTTTATTCAATTCCGAGGGCAAATTTAGAGGACAGTCTCCTAATTTTACTTGGAAATTGTTCGATGTAAGGCCAGTGTTAGTTACTTTAATGGTAATGATCGTTTTCTTGGGATTAGTACACTCAACGTAGACCTCAGTGATAACAGCAGAAGTGCGTCGATTAATGACAGTATTAAAATCAGCTCTCACTTCTAATTCTACGGAACTGTAATGGTTTCCCATGTATCCCAGAGATAAAGACAATTCACCACTTTGGTTTCTTATTGTATCTTTGTAAATATCAGCGTAATGTTTCAGGAAGAAGCAGCCTTTCTTCCCTCTCTTCTCTGCTTCGTGGTCATGCAACCAGAGGTGTCTTGGTTGGTTTGCAAGGCACGAACCTTTTGGAACCGAACATCTGTGTATACAAATTTTGAACTTGAAAAACGCCATCTGTAGTACGATGCTCCATTTTAGGATTACGTATGCTCCAACAAGGTCCATTTAAATATATGGATATCCACTTGCTGAAACGAATCCCTGCGTAGCTAACCTCAACGTGATAGGCACGTTACCATAATCGAATAAAATAATTCGAAGTGGTCTGTATTCTGTCGAAACTGCCAGAGGCGGATCGCGATTTCGATCTTTTTGGATCTCATCAGCGCGTCGATTATGGTAACGTGCCTATCACGTTGAGGTTAGCTACGCCGGGATTCGTTTCAGCAAGTAGATATCCATATATTTAAATGGACCTTGTTGGAGCATACGTAATCCTAAAATGTAGCATCGTACTACAGATGGCGTTCACCGCGCCATTTGTGGTATTTTCTAAAACGCGCTGTTAAGACAGCAGGTTAAAGTTGGTCTGCGTTCTGTCGGAGCTGCCTGCGTCGCGCTGATGAGATCCAAAAAGACAGAATACAGACCACTTCGAATTATTTTATTAAATGTCATAATGAATTTGGGCTCCGACTTTATGTAATTGATAAACGAATTGTTGTATCATAACGTCACCTGTTCGGCTGCTTAAAAAAAGCTTCGAATCCGACGCCAGCTACGTTACACCGATCGCCGCTAATTGATATCTGACTGGGATGAACAATTAAGTACTCCCCAGGACCATTAGCAACTTCCGGATGTTTCTTCGCGTCCTTCTTTCTAACACCTTCTGGAACCAACAGCCGTACCATTTTATAATTTAAAGAAAAGTACTTCGGATTTGGTTCAAAGTTGTCCATCACGTTGTAGTCGGCAGCCACTACATTATGAAAATTTTGTATATTGTTTAGTTTGTGACTTCCGAGGTATATTGGTATTCCTTGTGTCAAGTCATGCCACTCCGTTTTTCCTTCGACGTCTTCTTCTTTTTCAAAGACCTGTAGTGGGTATTCAAAAGGGTTAAATTTCACTTTTAAATGTTCATAGCGTACTTGAATCCGAATTTTGTGCTCGACCCCCGGCTCGCCGAGCTCATACACTGTATACCACAAATCTGAAAACTTCAGGCAATGAGTGCTGTCGTGGTAAGATTCGGGATTTGCAAAAGGAGGCACGAACCGGTCACCACAGTCTTGTCCGCCTCTTACTTGTATCCCGCCTGCGGTTTGCCTTTTTTCCCGATTCTCCCGTTTGCGATAATTTTCAAGAAAGGCTTCTAAATTTTTTATTTTGTCATCCAAATCTTCGTCATCGCTCATCCCACCATCAGGTCGCAAAGCGTTCATGACGACATCCTCTATTTCTTGATCTGGTAGAAAAGTTGATAGTTCGTCTCTGTCGGTGGTGGAAAATATTTCTTTATTATTGTTCCAAACTGATCTGTCGTATTTTCTATTCATTTTTATTGGCGCAAACCTTTCAGAAATAACACTTCCTTGGGGGGATTGTTTCTGGACGTTGTGCTGTGCTTTGGTACAGTTCTGGCGATTTTTGTGGATTTTAAAGGGATGTTTTGTAAATGATGAGGACGTCTCCCACCCTTTCATATGTCTGGGGCACTCTACTCCGTCCAAAAGGTAAGCAGGATCACTATACACAATCAGTGGAGTTGCTGTTTTGCCTCCCGTTCCCTTTTGCCACATCTCGTTCTTTTGGCGATCGCAAGAGCAGCAAAATCCTTTGCTGTAGGGCACAATTCTGCCTCTGTACGTGATCACTCCACACGTGGGATGTTTGGAAGTAACATCGCAACCCTTATATCCATGTTTCCGTTTATTTATTACCTGCTCAGTCGCTTCCGCATTAACTACATGTGAAGAAGACATTGGATATATCTGTCTCATTCGTTCTTGGTTCAATTTGATCACATATGGATTCAGAAGACGCGTTTTACTCTTACTTTTAGGATCGTACACATGATCCACGACAATATATTGACTTTTGTTGGTTAATATTCCTTCGTTTTTTAATCGCATTGTAATTATTACTTTTCTGTTGCATTTAAGTATCTGACTGGAAAGTAAAAGTTCATCCGTTTCAAATCCTTGGAAGTATTTGATATGTTCATTTCGTCCTGATACGGGTTCCTTCATGTTCCTTGTAAGGATACTGTTGTCGGAAGGAATATTGGGACAACGGGTCATTACAGCTCTCATTTCTACTGTGGGAGACGTTTGAGTTGCCCTACAACATCTCATACGTTTCATACAACATTCTCGGTTCCTCAGTTCTTGTTCTAAACGATTGTACATTTCAGGGTTTTCTGGATAAACCGTTTGGCATTTTGGTATTCCATCCAAACAAAAAATAATCGTAATAAGGAAAAACACATCGTGTAGTTTTTTAGAAGGATAAAATGTCATAATGACGTATGTAATTTGATTATTTACAAGACCTTCTAGAGGGGGATGGGGTAAGAAAAAGGGGGAATCCCCATGACGCACTTTTTTGAGTGTCCCAAAAATTCGGAACGTTTTTCTAATGTTTTATCATCAAAATATAAAAATAATATTTTGAAGAAAATATTTCCTGAGTGTAAGGGTTTAAGAGCTTCAATTTTTCTGGACATTTTTTCCAAGAAAAATTTTTTTGGACGTATTTTTTCGGCGGGTTTTTCCGTTTTTACGATGATAAATAAAAATGAATTTAATTAACTTTCTTTTTATAAAAAAACTAAACTGGAGATGTACCTATTGAAAAAATTTCATGTATCCTTGTTTACTTTTATGTAAACACCTTACTTAATAAATTTAAATATTATCTAACATTATCTAAATGAATATATGTAGCTACTGTATATAGATAAAACATTATTTGTTTACATAACATAATGTGTCTAATTAAAATCGATTATGAGTGTGATTCGGCATCTATTTCTCAAGTACTATCATGCCTTCGTGACCAAAAGCATTAATTCCTTTACAATACACCAATAATATTACAAGTCATAACCTCATAAATAAACGTACTGCTAGGAATTAATAATTGCTTCAAATTTCCAAATTCACCGCATATCGATTTATTCGTTTATAATATTACCTGTCAAGTTACTAGGGGGGTATTATTATTAGGTCTTAACAAACGGTGCAGCAGCTTTAGATAAGCTCGCAAATGGTTGTATCTATAGATACCAGGTAAGTATCATACGGTCTAATTATGACCTGCCCGACGGGGGTGAAGGTATTACCGCCAGATTACTACAAAAGAATGCAAAAGGCATACAAATTATTGTTCATAAAATATCGGCTAACAACAATACACCAGTATTAAAAATTCCATAAGTTGAAAAGCTTTTCGGAAATTCTGAGTTCAAAGTCTTAGTACTTATTATAAACGGATTATAAGATGTAAGCTTGTTAGAAATTACAATAAAAGCTAAATATTTATTTAACGAAAGGTTACCTACACAACTAGATAATTGGAATACAATAGGAGGTATTATTAATAATGAGGAGGGGTTGTATCCCTGTATCGTACCTAAATATTTAAAAAGTTTGGAATATTAGGTATATAATTCTATACAATTGTCTTCTTTCCATTAAAAAGACATTGTGTGTTTAATTTCAATTTAAAGAGTTTAAATATTTGGCAGTAAGTTTGAATTGTACATCATTTAGATTAGTTAGAAGCTGGACAAATAAAAATTTGATCTGTATCTTGAAACCAAAAGGAGATCGATGTATCTATGCCATTTTGATAATTCATTTAATGCCAAGGCTTAATGGCAAGGCAGGTAGTTAACATTTAAAAATTAAAAAAATTGGGGGTACATGACATGTATTAAATGGGCCGGCCAATGGGAGCCCATCTATAAAGAGGTAGTGACAGAAAGTTTGGCTTTCCGTCATAATTTATGTAAAATATATAAATAATTGCATAGGTATATGATGTAAAAAACGTTTCTGAATGAAGATGAAGAAGATTTGGAGATGTAGATTCAGGGGACTTTATGAGTCAACTTTTTCACTATAATGGGAAAATATTCGAGATCGTTGATCGTTAGATTATCTCCCGTCGATGGGTCACGTTTGAAGTTAAGGAATTTGAAACAATTTAATAGGAATTAGAAAGCCGAGGGGAGGGCATTTACCCAAAATACAAAAATTAGCACGTAGTCCACAAGGAAAACAAGTTCGGGGACCATTACCATACACTGATCAACTCTTTCTGCATCTTGGAATTCTATAAAGCTTTACAACGATTATTTTATAAAGCTTTTCAGTAGGCATATGCAATAGATAAGAAGTGGGAACAAATATGCTTCGGACTCGAGCTTTAGAAAGAAAATGCTCCATTTTTTGGATTTAATTATAGAGGATATGGGTACCCTAAAGGTACTTAAGGCATTTGATTATTGTATAATTATCAAGTGTATAAGAGACCCTATTTGCTTAATAAAACAAGTAAATTCTGTATAAACGAAATCAAGTTTTTCCTTTCGATTATCGTATTTACAAAATCAATCGAAAAAGGTACCAATGTAGGTAAATAATTAACAAGTAAATGTACCTATTTGTATATGAGAAAAGGTAGACGTTTCTACATCTATTTTTAATTGGATAGGTACATCTAGTAGATATATACCTGGATATTCCGCCGGGAAGTAAATGCGTAATAGCGGAAAAGTTCGTAAAAGTCTTTATTGAAGCATAAAAGCATAATCACACCGAGCGAGCCATTCGCCCGCTTCGGTTATTAAGGCCCAGATTCGCCCATATATCTGCTTAATACGTCCCGACATGTACTAAAAGGTTATAAGCAGTATCTCGCGCTAAATTCGCTCCAAAGTACAGTAGACGTAAAGACAAAATGCGGCGGTGGCCAATCACCGCCCGTCGCACTACAGCCAACCAGATTCTTTTAAAGCGCCGCCTCCGAAAGCTGAGCTTAAAGACATGTACATCGTTCAAAACTGTTTCATTATCACCTTGAACGTTATAACCGATTGCAGCCGTTTGAGTGTGGAAACAAGTGTGGTTTTTGGAGTGCTTCTGAAGTGAAAAACGGAACAATTAAAAGTTGTTTATATTTTATCGGTTCGAAAATGTTTCAACAAGATCAGCCGAAAGCTGGCCCGATAGTGCTGGACGTCATTCCACCCCATTATAACATGCATCATCATCAAAGCCATCAAAGTCCACCGCAATCGCCAAATAGCACTCAATCTATCAAAAAAGGTAATTTTTTTATATCCTTTCTTCAGCGAGTGACTGAAATTGTTTTCCCACAAGCGCCTGTTGGTGTTCCCAAAAACGAAAAAAAAATTAATACAATTTTTTTTATTGTTTCAGATTCTCTATCGCCAATTCCTGGTGATACCAAGCTGAATTCTTCGGCCAGTCAAATACATAACGATCCCAACATCAGAAGGTACAGGACGGCATTTACAAGGGAGCAACTGGCCCGGTTAGAAAAGGAATTCTACAAAGAAAATTATGTTTCCCGACCCCGTCGGTGTGAACTAGCTGCTCAACTGAATCTTCCCGAAAGCACCATCAAGGTAGGTGGTCAAAAACTATACTGTGGTTGATCTACTGATTTTCTTATTCTAATTTTCGTCATCTCTAATTCGGCAATGGGATCAATTTCGTTAACATCTAAACATATTAGGGATGTAGATAGAAATCACAAAAAGGCTTAGGTACTCATCCTTACGTCATGGATTTTGATTATTTTGATAACTCTTAGGATAGTATCTAGGTATCAACTTGATGGCGTACTATATTTTTTGTATTAGTGATCTTCTATTAACTTTGAGCGTAATAGGTGTTGAACGTAACTTTTTTGCCGTATCATATCTGTGCAGATGTAATATAAGAAAGCAGTTCGTTTTTTACATTGAAATAAATTTCTATCATGTAAAAGTACCTAGGTAGTACTTATTAAATTCAAACAATAATTTAAGTAAGGTTTGATTCATTGTTGCTATAGATATAGTATATCAAATTAGAATAACTTAAATAAATAAATCTACCACATATTACTCACAGTTCCTAAATTCTATATAAATTACTTTATAGTAGACGTTTTTCCTTTTTTTTGATATTAAATGTTATATTTTTAAAATGAAAGCGCGTGTACAGACTACGACCTCATGATAATGATGATGGTGATGATTACCTACGGTAAAAGTCAAACTTGCAGTCACTGTACATGTATTATCAGAATCCTTCGGATCCTAGATAAAAAATTGCAGTTACTCCTCCTTAGGAAAAGATTTTACTATCCTTCCATTCTCTGCATAATTTCCACAAAGGCCGAAAGCAATTTCCAAGCGAAAGATTTTAAATCACTTTACTAATAATAACGGTAAAAAATGCGATTTCTTGCTTGAGAGATTACGCTGATCTTTCTCGTCCTAGAAATCTTGAAGTATAATCCTTTGAGGGCAGGGATATATGGTAACAAAAAATCGTATAAGGAAGTTTGCCGCTCTCGCCTTCGGATCGGGTGGTAATTCACACCCAGGAAGGACTTTCTTACTTTCTTCCCTTGGTCTATAATATGCTTTTTTAGTTGTAGCAACTTTCACACAATTCATTAGGTTTTAAGTCGCATCTGGCACTTTGCCGTTGTTCTGTATCGTCCGATTAAGATAAAGAAATCAGTATTTCTTGGTATAAAGGTTTTGTTGTCCGAAACTGATAATGGTCTTTCTGTTCGGACAAAAATAAAAAACAATGTCCAGGATACCTCGCGTTGCATATCCGCGGCCTGCTTTCACGTGGCCAGTAAAAAGTAACACTCACATAAAACCGGGCAAATATTTGTTTCATGAATGGATCGAGTGTGAGTGTGTGTTATGGTGGCCCGGCCGCCTTGATCTCGAGTAGTTAGCACTTCATAAAACGTATGATTCCAACTTATCTCTCCATTAGACTACTGAAACCGAGTATACGGGCTGAGATAAGCCGAAATAAGCTCGGCTTTAAGAGCTAAAACGGCGCACATGACGAAAAAACGCGGCGTCTTTGAAGTGTTAAAAGCTGTATTAATGTTTTATTTAAACAGATAGTGCTAATTGGCCAGCAGTGGCCGTCTTTAGTGTTCAATTATGTGGCGTATGTGTCTGCCACCATCACTTAGGTACATGCACGCATATTACCCATGTCGTAAAGGGTTTTTTAGCAACTTAATGGATTCTCTCGGTACCGAAGTTTACACATTCAATTAAGTTTCATTTCGGAATCGCTTACATGCATGTCTTGATGGATATTAGTTATAATATAAAGTCCATTAACATATCATCATTGTCGACTCACATCCTCGAGATTAATTGATTCTCGGCTGTTTTTTAATATCAAACGCTAAGATAATTGCATGCTTAGTATCATATTAGGATATACGACGTTGTTGTAATCGTTTTTTAGCGAATTTAAAAATACTCATCATAAATATAAGAGAAAACGATAGAAAAAGGAAAGAGCGCGTACCTATATAGGATTTGTAGATGTAGAGAAACCTTTTGACAGTGTTAAATGGGACAAGATGTACAAAATATACTTAAAAATGTAGGGATGCAACAGGCAATCGCAGGGATAGGTACAGAGGGGTAAAAGACTAGTATCCTTAGATTTGCAGCAAGGAGGAGTTAGAGATGGACAATGGAAACGATATTGATTGATTGAGTCAGTATTGTATGAAAATAAATAAAAGTAAAACCAAAATACTCGAATGCAAGGGAAGAAAAAGTAGAGAAAGGGAGAAGGTAAAAAATTACAAGAAGATTTTAGGTATCTATAGGAAGTCAGATAAGTCTTACGTGCCCTTTGGCCAAACATTTAAACTGCAATCAGCAATGCAGTACAATGCTACTGGAGTCTTGCTGTTAGAAAATGATTTTCCAGCGTAATCTTGGAATGCTTTTGGTCTCTCGGTTCTAACAGTTTGCCTTTTAATTGTTTTGTGTGACAAGAAACCACTTAGAGAAGAAGATTTAAAACATATGAGATCTTGTTATTTACCACAATCTTACATATCAATACATTTAAACGATTCCAGTCGAGGTTGTTGCTTATTTAGTTTTCTCTTGTTTCAGGTTTGGTTCCAAAATCGTCGTATGAAAGACAAGCGTCAAAAAATGGCAATCGCATGGCCCTACGCGGCGGTCTACACGGATCCTGCTTTTGCAGCTTCCCTTCTTCAAGCAGCTGCCTCCAGTTTGCCTTTGCATTACGCGCCACCGCCACCAATGTACCACCCTCATCACTACCACCCCAGGTATCACCCGTACAGTTCCGGTTTTGGCATACCCCAAAGCAACATGCCGCTGGCTAACCCTGGACTGGGCATGAACCAAAGTATTTCGTTGGGTGGTACTTTGCAAGGATTTCCGCAAACGGTACCGCAACCGCAATTAGCACCAGCAGGATTAAATATCAGTCTTGGTCTGGACTTCCCCGCCTATCCTAAACTCTCCGACCATCACCTGAAACTGTCGCCCAAGGGTTCGCCTGTACATTCCGATTTGAGCGTAAGTCCGAGCCCGTCCGACGGCTTGCTAATGCCTGCCAAGATGGAACAGACCCAAATTCCTTCCATGCAAGATAAGCCGAAACTTTTTAAACCGTACAAGTCCGAAGCGTAATAATGCAAGTTTTGAGTTCATTGTGATAAACGTACAAGTGTATTACATTATTAAGTTGAAACAATCGTTGTGATGTGTATAGTTAGTTAATAAATTATTTTAGTTTAAGGTGTATATATTAGATTATTATGTACATGTACTTGTATAGGTCCAGTGATACCAAAAGTAGCCTATAGAATTGTAGAAACGACGATATTTGTATTATGTTATCTGTAAGTGAATTCCAAACTACCAACTGATGATCGAAAATGTTCATGTTACTTAATGAATAAAACTACTTAATATTTTATATACATTTGCTTATTTCTTTTGATTTCTACAAGTTTTAAAATGACGAGAAACTGCTTCAGAATAAAGGTAAGTGATGTCTTTTTCCAAATTTTCAAATTCAAACTCATAATAGTTTGCATTATTATCTCTCTGTCGCCTAATACTTCTACCATGTAATACTTTTTTATAGGGTTGTTCGGAAAGTCATTTCGTTTTTTCCCGACAGAGGATTTAATTGTATTCTTTTGCACCCAACTTCACATTTAAGCCGTATAATTTTTATATGCTTTGAGAGCTCATATAGCAAGGCTTGTGTGTGAAAAATTCCAATTAATTCTACGCAGTAGTTTTTGGTTGGTGCCCTTTTAAATATGGAGAGCGATAAGCAGCATTTTCGACATATCTTACTGTTTTACTACAGAAAGGGTAAAAATGCTGTTCAAGCCAGAAAGAAATTGACTGATGTGTATGGAGAAGGTGTGTTGACAGTACGCCAGTGCCAGAACTGGTTCGCTAAATTTCGATCCGGCAATTTTGATGTCGAAGATGCACCACGTTCGGGAAGGCCGGTTGAAGCTGATAAAGACGCGATAAAGGCATTAGTTGATGTGAACCGGCGAATAACAACACGTGAGATCGGATTGAGGTTAAATTTATCAAATTCAACAGTTTATGACCACTTGAAAGGCCTGGGATTATCCTCGAAGCTCGATGTATGGGTTCCCCATGTTCTCACAGAGAGAAATCTGTGTCGCCGCATTGACGTCTGCGATTCGCTTCTCAAACGTCACGAAAATGATCCGTTTTTGAAGCGCATCATCACTGGGGACGAAAAATGGGTTGTATACAACAACGTCAAACGCAAGAGGTCATGGAGCAAAAAAGATGAACCGGCTCAAACCATTTCCAAAGCCGATATTCACCAAAAAAAGGTGATGCTGTCTGTTTGGTGGGATTTTAAAGGAATCGTTTTTTTTTAGCTTTTACCGGATAACACAACGATTAATTCGGAAGTCTACTGTCATCAGCTGGACAAACTGAATGATGCACTTCAACAGAAAAGGTCAGAACTAATCAACAGGAAAGGTGTAGTGTTTCACCAAGACAACGCGAGACCTCACACAAGTTTGGTCACTCGCCAAAAGCTTTTACAGCTTGAATGGGATACAATGCTACACCCACCATATTCTCCAGAACTGGCACCATCGGATTATTATTTGTTCCGGTCACTCCAAAATTTTTTAGACAGTAAAACCTTCACCTCAAATAAGGTTCCTATACAAGCGAGCTAATAATCCTTAAGTAATATTTCGTTAACTTTTTGAGGTCAATTTCAAGTAACATGTTTCGCTCAAAAGTTAGTAAGTAAGGTACCTACCACCCATCCATAATCCACTCGTTCATTTGTTCATTCAAAGTTTTTACAAAGGATAATGCCTCAGTTTTGACAAGGACAATCCCCATTAGTCCTCGATAATATGATTTACATTTAGAACAACGACAGAGATAATAATGCAATTGCCTCTACGTTATCGGGTTGACTATGAAATAATAAAGTCTATAGCAAAACAGATGCCAAAGAAACGGGCTACTAGATCCAAACACACACATCCATATTTAAACGCATTATATTCTACTTGCTTGGCCTGTAATTCAGATAAATGTATCTGTATTATCATCAGAAGGGGACAAAACAATGCTCGAGCGTGACAAATTGTTTCTATTCCCTATTGCATTTATCCGACGATGAAATTCTACTGTCGATGTTGTCTAGATATAAGATAGGATTAATACGGAATACGGCAGAGGCCTATACGCATGGATGTACATACGTATTATAGCCGTTTCGCTAATAGAAAATCGATACAAGAATTATTCCTGATTTATTGCGATTTGATTAGCAGACGAATCTGGATTACTCCCAGCAACGCAGCGGCAATAAAAATTTTATCGTCCGGCACTGTTTTATCTCTCTGTCGCATTTGAATCATTACATCCCTGACAAAATTTGATAGGTTGTTCGCGAATTAGCAAGTGGATATGTGTCGAAATGAAAAAAAGTACATGCAAACACTTGCATCAGGATAATTAAATATGTAAACTCATTTAAACTATCCCTGATTATTTAAATTAAATATGTTATCTTAAAACAAAACGCAGGAATAATTCTGAGACAGATTTTTAAAAAGCGACTTTCTAGGGGTTTATAATTTACCCTTGAATGAGAAATTTCTGAAACAATTGGCATGCAGGAGTGGGAAAACTACTGGGATCTAGGAGTATCTCAAATGAAAATGAAAATTTCCTACTGTCGGGCAATGACATCTGGTTTTATACATCCTGTTTTATCTTGATTAATTAATTTGTTGGTCTTTTTTCTTACGTGTAAAACAAGTTAACATGGACAGTATTGTTCAATATCGCAATTTCATACGACAAAATCCGGTTATAACGACTGTGTAGAGACTGACCAACGCTATACGCAACTTTTACATACACACACAGGGTAAATGCTAGGCGTACCTGTTCTTAATTTTATCGTTACTAGCGTTAAATTTTATTAAAATTAATAATTTTTTCTTGAGTCTAAATAAATAGGTAGCCGTCTGCAACTAACTGCAAATAAGGTATAAAAAAAAACTAACGTAAACAACAGTATAAAACACAATTTCTGTTTAAAGGCATAGACATCTTCACAAGGATCTAACAGACCTTATATTTTACTTATCCAACGGTATATTGCCCGAACTGTATTGCAAAATATGGTTCAATAAATAACAAACAACTAAATGATAGGTACAATATAAATGAATATAATGTTTATTACTGTTACATTCAAGCTGTTACGGTAGAATTATGTAAGTAACTGCAACACAACAATAATAAAAGTTATATGCAGTCCGCATAAGTCTAAAAGGTGAACGTACGAAAGCTTTTAAAGTTTATTGTGCGGACCTTGTCTCTGTAGTAAACATTATTGGCATCAGTAAACTGCAATATTATTTCTGAATAGATTTATTGAAGGTTACATTGTCATCTTTGCGACAACAAATATATTTTCATTTTACTTTTTTCGGTAACTTATGTCGAAGGGAGAAACAAAAAAGGTTGTGCAATTGTCAAATAGGAAGAGAATTGCAAATATGATGAACCAATTCATCAATTTTATTAAGTAATCGATAAATGTTTGTGCTGTCTGCAAAAATTAATTTTGTTGGCAAATACACGTACATAAAGTGCAGAGGAAATTTTACACATGGAGATTTAATGTGTGCGTGATTCTGTCAAAATTAATAGTCCGAAAACAATTCGCATCCGATTCTGTCGAGCGAATCCGGTAATAGTGCAATAAAGCGATTGATTGATTTTGGCAATCGTGGGTGGCTGCGGTCGCATCTGTCAACGCGGTTAAAGGCAATTGTTATTATTGCCTAGAGATTTTCTTTGTCGCTAAATTGACACCGCTGGCCAGTGGTCAACTGATCGCATTGTTGCTCTTGCTCGATTACCAGCCAAATGCCCCGTATAATTCTCGCGTAGCCTTTTGTCGACGGTAATTGCGACCCTTTGCTAATGGTCAGTTGTTATTTTCATCCACAACTTTTAACACGATCAGTAAGGCATTACCCAGGTTGAGTATATTAGACAGAGGAAATTGTTATAAATTTATCGGAATCGATGGTCCAGCTTTCATACGTGATAAACCAATCAATCTGATGGTGATTTCGATCATTTTAGAAGAAAAATCTAAATGAAAGATGGGATCTAAAAAGGTCGAAAGGTCGCCGTTAGATTCTGAAACTGCTAAACTCTGAAAATTTGGATTCTGGTAGGTCTTTTTAAGACACGGTCTCTTACAGTTTCACGCATTCATATAGCAATATCAGCAACTAGCAAGGAGAAGTTAGAGATAGCTTTAAATAAAATGGAAGAGGTATTGACAAAACAGTACTGTATGAAAATAAATAAAAGTAAAACAAACATACTGGTATGCAAGGGAAGAAAAAGTAGGGAAAGAGGGAATATAAAGATAGGAGACGAAAAATTTAAAGAAGTGGCTGATTTTAGGCATCTAGGAAGTCAGATAAGTCAGGACGAAAGAAGTAGTAGGGATATATAAAGCACAGGATAACGCAGGGTCGAGTCGCCTCCAATAAAAAGAAGTCACTTCTATGTTCGTGAACGGTTGATTTAGAAATTCTAAAAAGGTTGTTAAAGGGGTATGTTTGGAGCACGGCGTTGTACGGGTGCGAAACATGGGCGCTGCGGAAAAGAAAAGGTTAGAAGCGTTCGAAATGTGATGTTAGTGGCGAATTATGAGAATAGCGTGGATAGAGAGGGCTAGAAATGAAGAGGTATTAGAAAGAATAGGAGAACAGAGGACTGTATGAAAGTCAATAAGAAACAGGCGAGATAGATAGATAGGACACTTTCTCAGGGATGAAGTTCTAGTCAGAGGCATATTAGAGACAGAAACGGGAGTTAGGAGGGGTAGAGGTAGACTTAGATTAGATTACTGTTCGCAAATAGTTAAGGATATAGGATGATTTAGTTTTAGGGGAATGCGAAGATTAGCTCAGGATAGGAAAGAATGGAGGTGCGTATCCAACCAGTCTTAGGACTGATGACCTTATGATGATGAAGTGAACTATCATGTTGAGGTGTACTACACTTTTGCATTACCATTTCTAATCCGAAAACATGTCACATGTAATACCCATCAACATATGCATTCATACTTAAACGTACTCAGCAGGCATAATTCTTCCTTAGAAGCCCTTATGGAATAATGCCATCGTAAGATAAATTTTGATGACTTCATACCCATTATGACTGTTGATCCATACGTCAAGAATAACTACCAAAATT